AAAAAAAAAAAAAAAAAAGATTGACTGGATTTAAACCCTAGCCCTGACATGTATAACTACATGACTTTGGGGAAATTACTTAACCTGTCTTTGCCACAATCTCCTTATTTATAAAACAGAGATGGTAACAGCAAGACGCATTCATATGGTTGCTGAGATTAATGCATGCAGAATGCTTAAGATAGTATCTACCATATGATACATCCTTCGTAAATTATTTTCAAAAATACCTGTCTTTTATTTTTTTCGAGACAGTCTTACTTTGTCACTGCCACCCTAACCTCTGAGCTAGGGGTGCTGAGCTGACCTCTAAGTTCTTATTCTCCCTGTTTGTTTTGCAAAATTCAGATCTGATGCTCTTTTTACAGTGGTAATTGCAGAACAAGGGTTGCATTGATAAGAATCTGGTGTTAATTTTTAACTATAAATGAGGCAGGGTGTAAACTATCAGAGGAAGAAGTACAGGCCTTTTCCTTATAGTAAAAACGTTTATAATTTTAATCAGATATAATGGAAATGAGAATATGTTATGCTTACAGTTGAGATGAGTGTTCCCACATACTCTGGCAAGGAAGAGAACTTTGCGCCCCTTTTCCTTTTTTTTGAGACAGAGTCTCAAGCTGTCAGCCTGGGTATAGTGCCATGGCATCATAGCTCACAGCAACCTCTAGCTCGGGCTCAAGCAATCCTCTTGCCTCAGCTTTCCTATTTTTGGTAGAGATGGGGTCTCGCTTTTACTCAGGCTGGTCTAAACTCGTGAGTTCAAACAACCCATCTGCCACGGCCTCCCACGGCACTAAGATTACAGGCGTGAGCCACCTTGCTTAGACATCCCTTTTCCGGTCTTAATAACAAAAGTCATGAAAAGTAATGTTACAATGTGTAGAGAAAAAAACTGAACAAGAAAAAAGAAGGTACTCTTAAGCAAATGCTAGGGTTAACAAGTGCTGAATTTACTTAATGAAGTTTATTTTATGTGGCTTGGCCCCCATAGCTCAGTGGTTAGGGTACTGGCCACATACATTGAGACTGGCAGGTTTGAACCCGGCCCTAGTCTGCCAAACAGCAACAACTGCCAACAGAAAAATAGCCAGGTGTTGTGGTGGTCACCTGTGATCCCAGCTACTTGGGAGGCTGAGGCAAGAGAATAGCTTAAGCCCAAGAGTTGGAGGTTGCTGTGAGCTGTGACGCCACTGCAAGGGCGACATAGTGAGACTCTGTCTTAAGAAAAAAAAAAAAAAAGTTTGTTTTACGTATACTTAAAAAAACTACCTTTACTACTGAAACTCCTGCTGTAAAAACAACTTGATTGTAAGCTGGAAAATCTCAACTCCCTAAACACTTCCTCATTTAAAAAAAAAAAAAAAAAAAAAGCTAGCTTATAAAATGATTTTTCATAATGCAAGTTTTCTTAGGAACCAATATATTCTTGCCTATAAATTAATTCCATTCACAAAAATTGTGTGAATATTGTTTTTCATTTACATAGTTATTTATATACATAGACATTTTTACTATAACTTGTGCCCCACAATAATCCTTTTTGAGATAAGGAAACAGATTCAGAATAATATGGTCACAAAGGTAATGACAGAGATTGGGAAACTAGGTCTTCTGTCTATGGCTCACTGCTCCTGAGACAGTCTACAGAATATATAAATAATCTATCTTTCTAGTTCGGTAATTGGTGATTTTCCAACATATGTACAAAAGAGGCACACCTTGGTTTTTCTTTTGGTCAACTTCTACTTATTTATTTATTTAGGTTTTTGTTTGTTTTTTGAGGCAAAGTCTTACTCTGTCACCCTGGTTAACAGCAATCTCAAACTCCTGGGCTTAAGCCATCCTCTTGCCTCAGCCTACAGCAGCTGGGACTGCAGGCGTGCACCACCATGCCAGGCTAGTTTTTTTCTATTTTTAGTGGAGACAGGGTCTCGCTCTTGCTCAGGCTAGTCTCCAACTCCTGAGCTCAAGCAATTCACCTGCCTCAGCCTCCTATGGAACTAGAAAGGAATTACAGGTGCGAGCCACCAGGCCTGGCCTTGGTCAACTTTCTTTAAAATGAAAATAATGTAATTTTTTGTAAAAAAAAAAAAAAAATGGTATGTCAGAGCCTTTCAGTCTTTTTAAGGAAAATGTGAGAGTGTCAAGTCTCCTAGCACTCTTTTGAGCACAAACCTCTTCATTTAGGGTGCTGCTCTCCTGGATGGTCTTGATCCAGGCCAACATGTCATCTCTGTCCTCAGCCTGGAACAGGCACTCGCAGTCGGACGTGGTGAGGCGGAAGACATTTTTCCTCTTGGTCTCGCTGTAAGAGATGTCTATCAAGCAGGCGTTCACACTGATGGGCTGCTCCTCCTCGGAAGGCGTCGTCTGCTCTCTCTTGTCTTTGTACAAGTAAAGGGAATGGCCCCGAAGTACAACATACATCTGTTTCCACGGCCGGATACTTCCACCAACTCGCTAGAAGGCAAGAAACAATTCCTGAATACTCAACACGTGGCTAAATCTTTGTGATGGGATAAGCACAGTAAGCAACACCCTGACTGCACATATATGCATACCCAGTGTTCTACACAGGTGTCTGATGTACCTCCACATATACAGAGGGTACCAAGAAAATGCATGTACATTTTAAGAAAGGAAAAATTGTATTAAAAAATTGTAATACTCTAGGCTGGGTGTGGTGGCTGATGCCTATAATCCTAGCACTATCAGAGGTCAAGGTGGGCGGACTGCTTGAGCTCATGAGTTTGAGACCAGCTTGAGCCAGAGTGAGACCTCTTCTCTAAAAATCACTGGGCATTGTGCAGGCGCCTGTAGTCCCAGCTACTCGGGAGGCTGAGGCAAGGGGATCACTTGAGCCCAAGAGTTTGAGGTTGCTGTGAGCTATGACACCATGGCACTCTACCAAGAGTGAATAAGTGAGACTGTCTCAAAAAAATAAAAAATTGTAATACTCAAACCACGTTTGACTTCTGCAATTACAAGAGATAAATATACAATAATAAATGTTATTGATATACAGTGAGTATTTTGAATTTTAATAGTTTTTCCTTTCTTAAAGTGTGCATACATTTTTGGGCGGCACCCTCTATATTTGTGAAGATAAGAGGATAAAAACTGCACGGCATAAACCAAGCTAGGCAAAGAGTCCACAGCAAAATCAAGGGTACTGAAGTCCCAACATTAATTTAGTGGAGACGATAAAATGAACAAAGTAATTCAAATAAAATTACTGTAGCAAAATATATTTTAAAAACCATCAGAAAAAAAAAATCTTTTGAGTGAAAGACAAACTTAAGTCTTACAAAATGTAAATGATAAGCATTTCACAAGGCGTTCCCAAAGCAATGTGTATAAATAATGAATTAAGTTAACAAAGTTGACCAACTTTATGTGATTAAGTAATAACATACGTCTCCAGGGTGAAGTTCCCTAAAAACTTCAATCTCTTATGGTGGCACTAGAATATTCTTAGAAACAAACTATTCAAGTATTCTAAGAAAATTGTATGCCAAGTTTTCATTGTATTAGAATCTACTAAATACATATATTGACATGTTATACCTTTTAATTCAACATTTGTAGAATAAAATGAAACAAAAAATCATAAAGGCTATTATTTAAAGGAACTAGAAAAAGTTAAATTTTCAAAAATTATTAACAAATACCATCAGTGTAATCTGGTTTCTTGTACCCTCAATGAAACCTCAACAAAAAAAATTAAAAATTATTAATATGGGGCAGCACCTGTAGCTTAGTGGGTAGGGCACTGGCCACATGTACCAGGGCTAGTGAGTTCGATCCCAGCCCTGGCCTGCTAAAAAAAAAAAAAAAAATACCAAAAACACAACTGGGCATTGTATGGGCACCTGTAGTCCCAGCTACTTGGGAGGCTGAAGCAAGAGAATCGTTTAAGCCCAAGAGTTCAAGGTTGCTGTGAGCTGTGATGCCATAGCACTCTACCAAGGGCAACACAGTAAAACTCTGTCTCAAAAAAAAAAAAAAAATTACTAATACGGAGAATTGCCATTATGATATCCTCTGACTAATAAACGAATAAGAAATGCAAAATCCTCTCTTAAATATTTTGATTTTTTTATACTGCTAAAATATAACATTCTATATGTAGTTGACACGTAGGATAAAAAGTACAAAATTAAAGAAACGATTATAATTTTTTTTTTGAGATAGTCTTATTATATCGCCCTCAGTAGAGTACTATGGCATCACAGCTTACAGCAACCTCAAATTCTTGGGCTTAAGTGATTCTCTTGCCTCAGCCTCCCAAGTAGCTGGGACTATAGGCATCTACCACAACACCTGGCTATTTTTTGTTGCAGTTGTCATTGCTGTTTAGCTGGCCCAGGCCAGGTTCAAACCTGCCAGCCTCAGTGTATGTGGTCTATGCTGTAATCACTGTGCTATGGGTGTGAAGCCAGAAATGATTATGATATTTTTTTAAAAATTAATTTTTATTAGAAAAAAAAATTCCTTTTTTTCAGACAAAGTCTCACTATGTCACCCTCAGTAGAGTGCTGTTGCGTCATAGCTCACAGCAATCTCCAACTCTTGGGCTAAAGTGATTCCCTTGCCTCAGGTTTCCAAGTAGCTGTGACTAAAGGTGCCCACCACAAGGCCTGGCTATTTTTTTTACAGATGGGGGTCTCACTATTTTTCAGGCTGACCTCAAGGGATCCACTCGCCTTGGCCTTCCAGAGTGCTAGTACAGGTGAGAGCCACTGCGCCCGGCCTTAGAAAAAGACTTTTATAACTTTTTTAATTCTTTAACCTGGGTATCTTCCTTTTTTTTTTTTTTTTTGAGACAGAGCCTCAAGCTGTCACCTTGGGTAGAGTGCCATGCCATCACAGCTCACAGCAACCTCCAACTTCTGGGCTCAAGCAATTCTCTTGCCTCAGCCTCCCAAGTAGCTGGGACTACAGGCATCCACCACAACACCCAGCTATTTTTTAGTTACAGCTGTCGTTGTTTGGCAGGCCCAGGCTGGATTCCAACCAGCTAGCTCAGGTGTATGTAGCTAGCACCTTAGACGCTTGAGCCAAAGGCGTGGAGCCTTCCTATTGTTTGTATACAGAATTTATGCTTCATTTGTCAGAATCTTATTTCTGATATTCATAGAAGCTTAGAAAACGCACTACCTTGCCCTTATCGGTGACAAGTGGCCGGAAATGGAGCCACCCTTCCTTGGCAGCATCACTGAAAACCTCGGAGGAAGAATCTTTTCTGGATCCAGAGTCTTCTGACGACTTCTGGCTGTCTGTGATCTATAGAAAATGCCAAGAAAACAGTAAAATATTAGCTTTTTCCCTCAGAAATATTTACACACTCATATTACATTGCAGAAAATTTTTACTTGCAATGTTCCAAGTGAAAGCTATTTTTGAAAAAATTCTAATCTCATCAGTCACAAAAATGAATGGCTACCATCATTATGAAGGAATTTTTCTTTTATTTTTTTATTTTATATGAAGGAATTTTTAACCAGGGAAAACACCTGGGATAATATAATTTTCTTGCTCTCATGAGATCACATTTTAGTGGAGAAAGACGAATAATTTTCTAAAAAAGACACAATAAAATGAACTTTGTGACTTATGCCATTTGAAGAATGAAAATAGGAAGATGACTGAGAAGCAACTATAAATTGGCAGTGTCAAGGCCAGGCCTCTCTGAGGAAATAGTATTTACTTTTTATTTTATTTTATTTTGTAGAGACAGGATCTTACTCTATTGCCCTCGGTAGAGTGCTGTGGTATGACACAGCTCACAGCAACCTCTAGTTCCTGGGCTTAGGCGATTCTCTTGCCTTAGCCTCCTGAGTAGCTGGGACTATAGGTGCCTGCCAGAATGTGTGGCTATTTTATTGTTGCAGTTTGGCCAGGGCTGGGTTTGAACCCGCTGCCCTCGGTATATGGGGCCAGTGCCCTACCCACTAAGCCACAGGTGCTGCCCTTTTTTTTTTGGCAGTTTTTAACTGGCATCCTACTCTTCGAGCCACAGGCACCACCAAGAAATAGCATTTAGCTAAAAATCTAGAGGACAAATTAAGAAAAGGAGGTAGTCACAAAAGGTTAGAGAGAAAGGAAGTTCAGGAAGAATGAAAGCTCAGGATGGTCTAAGTCATCATTATTTAAAAAGTTCCACCTGAGAGAAATAGCTACGTCTAGATGGGTTAGGGTCACTTAGGAAGTGTGAAAGGTGGCCACTGATGGATGAATCAGGGAGTGACAGCATCTGATCCCATGGTTCAGAATTGCTCAGAGTGTTGTGTGGAGAGTGGATTCTAAAGGGACAAGCAGGGGAGGGGGAGGAGAGGGGAGATGGGTGTGCTTCCACATAATGGGTACAGTGTAGATATAGCACATCTCCTGGGAGAGGGACACAACCACAGCAGGTACTTCACCTGACAAATGCAAACACTGTAAACTAATTGTTTATACCCTTGTATTAATCTGGAATGGAAAAAAAAAAAGGACAAGCATGAAAAGAAGTGTCAGAGAAGGAACCCAGGTGAGGAACCCGGCAGGTTGGACTACAGGGGCCTAAGTGAACATGGATGGGGGGCCTAAGTAGAGGGGACTAGATGGGATCTGGGGAAGAGCGCAAAAGAACAAACCAGGCTAATTCCTAGATAAGTGTCTTGAGCAAGTGGGTGAGTGGAAGTGACTCAGTGAGATGAGAGAGAAAGAGGTCTGGGACAATCGGGGTCTACTGGCCACGCAGACCTTGAATCGAAGATCAAACATCCAAATGAAGATGAGCATTTAGGGCAGGAGCTTGTATGAGCTACAGTTCCAGAAGGAGCTCAAAGCCAGCCAGGTAAACTTTAAGAGACCTTTGCATAAGATACACAGCGGGGTCAGAACAAGCTGTAAGCATTCCAACACTATTGGATATCGGGCAGAAGCAGGAGAGACTGGGAAGCAGTCTTAGACATAGAAGAAAAGAACGGCAAAATGGAAGCCAGCAGAAGAAAGCAATTCAGGAAGGGAGTGAAAAACTGTGTTGGATACTGATGAGAGGTGAAGCAACCATTAGTCTCGAGACCTAGATGTCACTGGCCCCCCTGGCGTGAGTGGTGATACTGATGTGTGTGGGATGACACTACATGTAATGTTTTCAAGAGATTGTGCTGTGAAAAACGGAAGTTTTTTCTATACCAAAGGTTTCTGTTTCATATAGAAAACAGCAGAACCAGCAGATGAGATGGTGAATGAGCCAATGGGAAGATGGTGACTGAGAGACAGGGCCAAGACCTGGAGAAGTGAGACAACCCAAGGAAATGTGGGTGCTGGTTTCTGGTAGGATAATGTTCCAAGTAAGACAACCTAAGAAAAAGAAGGCAGAAAGTGCAGGTTCAAATGCGGGGAACTGATTTTTTTTTTTTTTTTTTGCAGTTTTTGGCTAGGGCTGGGTTTGAACCCACCACCAGTGGCATATGAGGCCAAGCGCACTGCTCCTTTGAGCCACAGGCGCCGCCCCAGAAATGATTATTTTTAAAGATGATGAATAAACCCGGCTGGGCGTGGTGTCTTACTCCTGTAATCCCAGCACTCTGGGAGGCCAAGGTAGGTGGATTGCCTGAGCTCAGGAGTTCTAGACCAGCCTCCGCAAGAACAAGACCCCATCTCTAAAAATAGCTGGACGTTGCAGTGGGCCATCTGAAGTCCCAGCTACTTGAGAGGCTGAGGCATCTCCAGTGATGTGAGAGGGCAGAGGGGAGGACACAGGTGACTGCCAGGCGACAGGAGAAGGCAGGAAGTAATAATTTTGAGAATGGAAAAACACACAATAAAATATAGGACTGCTGGGCGGTTTGATTTTTAGGCTTGAATTGATAAAGTGAGAAAAATCAGCAAAGCTGGGTAAAGTATTACATACTTGATGAATAAGTTCAGAAATGAGAAAAGAACATTTAATATTTTCCAAATGCACTTGAAACTTATGAAATAGGTTATAATATTTAAATATTAAATGGATCATGTATAGAAGAATTACTTCTCTATGAAAAGCTAAAGTAAATGAAGATAAACAGAAACATTTATCATTTGCTTGATGTCTTCAAAATATTCAATACCAACCTTGATTCCTTTCAGGCTAGATACGTGTTTAAAGGGCCTGTTGGAAAAGAAATATGTAAATATTTTCAGTAAGTGCAAAAAATACTGCAGACATGTAAACATACTTTGATGATTACAACTAACTTTTCAATAGTAAGCCAACATTTCATTATCATGTTAAATTGCCCACTGTTTAACGTTAAGTGAGAAAAACGCCTAATTTTATAAATGCTTAAATTTCTAATTCAATGATTAAAAACTTCCTTAGCTGATTATTAAATTAAAACTGTTTCTGCTTAAAGTGTGGGATTATTTTATCTTTTTTTTTTTTTTAATAGCAAAGGAAAACCTGCTCAGGTTGGACACTGAGGTTCAGATTACTGGTCTGCCATAGTTGTATGTTAAGGATTTCCACGATGTCAACTATGACCTGTAAGTAGCTGCCATCTGCAGCAGCTTCAAGGATGCTGCTCCCTGCCATCTCTGCTCATGCAGATGGGGGACATCCCGAACCCTAACAGTAGCAGGAGAGCAGTCCTGGCCCGACGCTTCCCCTCTGATGGCATCATTGACAGTCTTGAGAAGGAACAACTGTTGCCACTAAAAAGGCTTAGGGCTTCAGGAAACAAGTTTTTAATTAAAGTAGTTAGAATAACTTTTATTAGGAGATAGCACATAGGTAATTTTTTTTTTCCATTCAAAATTCATTTAAGAAATTTAAGAGTTTTGTTTGTTTGTTTGTTTGTTTGTTTTTTAAGAAACAGAGCCTAAGCTGTCCCCCTGGGTAGAGTGCCATGGCATCATGGCTCACAGCAACCTCCAACTCCTGGGCTCAAGCGAGTCTCCTGCCTCAGCCTCCCAAGTAGCTGGGGACACGCGCTTGCCACAATGCCTGGCTATTTTTTGGTTGTAGCCGTCATTGTTGTTTGGCGGGCCCGGGCTGGATTCGAACTTGCCACCTTAGGTGTATGTGGCTGGCGCTTTAGTCACTTGAGCCACAGGCACTGAGCCAAAACTTAAGAGTTTTAAGATGTGACTGAAGAGGTTACTACTGCCTTCTCCTCTCAGAAGCCATCTCAAATAAGCAGAGACAGGTATGCAAACTCAATCTCCCATATACCAGGAGACTTTGTAACTGAACTACAATATAAGAAGAAGGTGGCTAAATGCACTGAAGGAAAAAGTGGATACAAGAGGAGAAGCCATCATTACTTGCAGGTCTCAAAACTATAGTGCACTGTGCTCTGCTGATCAAAACCAACCTTCCTGTGTTTGTACAATGGGAAATAGGGTGCTAGAGCTGGTGACCAGGCCCTCATTTGTCACCATGGAGTGTCAGAGGAGGTGAGAATGAAGGAGCCTGTCCTGCCGTCTTTGTAGGAAGCAGTGTGTAGCTGGTGCAGTCGACTCTGAAATGTGGCAATTACTGATATCTCTTAAAAAGGAATAGCTCACAAATCCAACCCTGTATCGCTAGAAGATTCTTGCTATGCTAGAACAGCCTCCCCTGGCAGTACCTCCTACAAATCTCCCTCAAGTAGCTGGTCCAGGAAGAACTAGTTTAATCAAAATATAAGTAATAATCGGATGGAAGCCTCAGAGGATCCTACACAGAGATAACATAACGAAACAGACAAACTCTTCTTTGACATAACAGATTATCAATATGCCCTGAATGAATCTAGAAATTAAGCATGTCAACAAAAATATCAGTAAGAATTTAAGAAGTAGGAAACCTGATTTTAAGATTCAAATAGTAAAATAAATAAAGATAGCCAGAATTCAGAGTTACAAAGTAACGATGGGTACTAGCTACATCAGTTAAGAAAAACATTATAAAACCACTATAATTAATAGATTCTTGTGTACCAGAATATATAGATAAATCAAATGAACAGAATAGAGCCCTAAAATAAAATTAAGTATATATAATTTAATAGATAATAAAGATGGTATATCAGTGGGAAAAAGATACCTTTCATTAGGTGCTCTGGGGACAACTGAGAGACACCAGAAAATATAAAGTTGACTTTTATTTCTTTTCTTTTCTTTTTTAAAGACAGAGTCTCATTTTATTGCCCTCAGTAGAGTGGTATAGTGTCACAACTCACAGCAACCTCCAACTCCTGGGCTTAGGTGATTCTTCCCTCAGCCTCCCGAGTAGCTAGGACTATAGGCACCTGCCACAACGCCTGGCTATTTTTTGGCCACAGCTGGGTTCGAACCTGCCACCCTCGGTATATGGGGCTGGTGCCCTACCCACTGAGCCATAGGCACCACCCTAAAGTTGACTTTTTAATCTCACTAATTAGAATAAATCAATTCCAGATGAATCAAAGTCACAAATGCATAAAAAGAGAGAAAAACATACACAAATCTGGGAAGGAAATATGGAAGAATTTTGTTATAATTCTGGAGAGAGACTTTTTCAGTATGACTAAAAATCCATAGGCCATAAAAGTATTTCCCAAATTAGATCACAGAAAAAGATTTTAAGCGTTTTTTGCATAGTTAAAAAAAAAAAGAAAACCAAATGAAAAACACTGAATTAGGAAAAGACTTGCAACACTTATCACAGAAAAGCTCTAGTTTCCTTTATATAAAGAACATGTAGAAGTCAACAAGACAAACCAGGCTCAGGGTCCATAGCACAGTGGTTATGGCGCCAGCCACACACACCAAGGGTCGTGGGTTCAAACCTGACCTGGGCCAGCTAACCAACTGCAACAAAAAAAATAGCCAGGTGTTGTGATAGGCACCTGTAGTCTCAGCTACTTGGGAGGCTGAGGCAAGAGAATCGCTTTAGCCCAAGAGTTTGAGGTTGCTGTGATGCCATGACACTCTGCCAAGAGCGACACAGTGAGACTCTGTTTCACAAAAAAAGAAAAACCAGTAGAAAGTGTGTGACACATATAAAGAAAGTTCATGGTAAATTAATATAAAATTTCTCCTAAACATATATGAAGTGGTGTCTAATTGATAAAAAAGTTTCAAATTAAAACTATAACATGTGGACCGCAAACTAATAAAAAACTCTTTGGAAGGAAATACAGAGAATCCTCAAAGAACTCAAATTAGACCTCCCATTTGATCCTGCAATCCCATTACTGGGCATCTACCCAGAAGAAAAAAAATAATTTTATCTTAAGGAAATCTGCACTAGATTGTTTATCATAGTTTAATTTACAATCACCAGAATGTGGAAACAACCTAAATGCCCACTGACCCAAGAATGGATTAGCAAACTGTGGTATGTGTATACCATGGAGTACTATTCAGCCATGAAAAAGATGGAGACTTTCTATCTTTTGTATCAACCTAGATGGAAGTGGAACACATTCTCCTTAGTAAAGTATCACAAGAACAGAGAAGCAAGAATCAATTCTCAATTCTAATATGAAACCAGTAGATGATCTAATACACGCCCATATAAGATAAAAACTCAAATTAATTCAAGATGGGGGATAGGGAATGAGGGAGCGGGGAGAAGGGAGGAGGGAAGGGGGAAGGGTGTGCTCCCACTTAACAGGCACCACATTAGGGGATGTGGCACACCTCTTGAGGGCAGGACATAATTATAAGAGGGACTCTATCTAAAAATGCAAACATTATAACCTAATTTTGTACCCTCAAATTATTAGAAACAATTAAAAATAAAACTAAAGAAAATTTAAAAACCACAATATTAAGTAACTGCAAATAAAATTGAAGAACCATTAGATTTACCAAAAAAAAAAAACCAAACAAACAAAAACAAAAAACCAAAAAGTTAAATAGTGTACTCTGTTGGTGAGAATAACAACAGCCTTTGGTATAATCTTATGGAGAGCACTTGACAATAGATTTTAAAATAAAATATACATACCCCATGGTGTACCAATTCTATTTTCAATTATATTCACTTGCACATGTATTAAATGAACTAAATGTAGTCAATTAAGTTGTGTTTGTGGTCACATAAGAGTCAATCAATCTAAATGCCCATTAATAGGATATTGATTAAATACATTATGGTACAAATATTCAAAGGAAAATTAAGCAATCCTAAAAAAGGATGAGACAGGAATATAAGCACTATAGGATCTCTAAGATCCATGTGTATACTGTCATTTGTTTATAAAAATAATTACAACACACATATATTTACGTATGTATATGTGATTTTACATACATAATAGCTCTAGAATTATATAAAACACAGTTATGTCTGAGCAGTACTAAATGGCTAAAGGTCTTAGGGTAGGTATATTTAATATAGTTAAGGGTAGGTATATTTAATATACTTTTAAAAATACACGATACATTTTGTATTTTATTTACATTTTACTGCCTTGAAATAATTATTTTTAAAAATCCAATTGAATGTTACCAAGTGACAACTTTGCTCTTGTTTTTTATTTGTATTTCTTTTTTTTTTTTTTTGAGACAGAGCCTTAAGCTGTCGCCTTGGGTAGAGAACCGTGGCATCACAGCTCACAGCAACCTCCAACTCCTGGGTTCAAGCGATTCTCCTGCCTCCACCTCCCAAGTAGCTGGGACTACAGGCGCCTGCCACAATGCCTGGCTGTTTTTTGGTTGCAGCCATCATTGTTGTTTGGCGGGTCCGGGCTGGATTCGAACCTGCCAACTCAGGTGTACGTGGCTGGCGCCTTAGCCGGTTGAGCCATAGGCGCCAAGCCTATTTGTGTTTCTAATATCATAAAGTTAGAAAACCTATCATTAAACTCAGTATTTAGGTGTCAAAGACATCTTGAACACTCTTCCACATCCAAATATTTGAAACACTACACCTGGGACTTACAATTTTGCGTCTTCCCTATAATCATCCAGACCCTCGTCATATGACTTTGATCTTTCTGTCTTGGAGCTGGGCTGGCCATCCAAGCTGGGAGGTCCAATAGATTCTGTAATTAAAATCCAGCATTGAACAGATCAGTGCGTCACACTATGCTAAGAGCAAAACTGAGACAGAGATAACGGTTTGCACAACCAACTCTTTCGATGTACCGTGATCATGGGAGAGTTGACGCCGAATTAAGGGAGCTGAAGTTGTGAGGCTGGGAGGAACTGTTGCTATGGAGGGGACCTGAGAGGTAGAGGCGGAAATAACAGCAGAAGCAGGAATATGTGCAATGTCATGATCAATGCTGGGGCTAGTTGGTTCATCTGTAAGAAAAAGAAGACAATGAACACTGGAATATTAAAATGGCCCAACTCTTACTAATAGCAACTCACAGTCAAGAATCATTATTAAAAGGGTCAGATAAAGATTTTACACTTTTCCACCAAAGCACCAGTAAATGACATAGTCTGCTAAAAATCCACTTACATAGTTGATACTCTAGTGATTCCAAATAATTCTGAGAATATGGTATAAAAATTTAAATGAGTGGCTTCTTCTACCAACCAATTAACACCTTCACGGGCTGACGGTCAAGGTATCACAGTATACAGGTATTCAGAGCCTATCAAACCAGACCAATAATCACATACCACCCCAAAAGAATCACTCTTCAAATTTTAAATTGCTACAGATTATTGTTTCTGGGAGGTAAGCAAGATGATTTGCTTGCGACTTAGCTCACAAATGGAGAATATTCCAAGTCTTTATTTTTTATTTATTTATTTTTTTTGAGATGGAGCCTCAAGCTGTCCCCCTGGGTAGAGTGCCATGGCATCACGCTCACAGCAACCTCCAACTCCTGGGCTCAAGTGAGTCTCCTGCCTCAGATTCCCAAGTAGCTGGGACTACAGGCGCCCACCACAACGCCCAGCCATTTTTTGGTTGCAGCCATCATTGTTGTTTGGCGGGCCCAGGCTAGGGATTCGAACCCGCCACCTTAGGTGTATGTGGCTGGCGCCTTAGCCGGTTGAGCCACCGGCGCCGAGCCAAGTCTTTATATTTATTTGTATCAGATTATTCATATCTTAATAGCAAACTTTTACTATGATTATTATCAATTAATATTCTGAAGACTGTACCATCAAGAAAAATGTAGACATGTAGAAAAATCAAGCAGCCATGTTGTGAAACTTCATGCATAACTGTTAAAGAGTTATTTTTCAAATATCAAAGCATAAAAAAGGGAAGCTTCACATAAAAAGAGCTCTTATGATTTAAGGATCACTACAATCACAACCAAAAAAGAACAGCATGTGAAAAGATAACTCACGGCAGAAACACAAAAGCCTAATAAAAATGTCAAAAGAAGAAAAAAAACCCAAACAACTTGGACAACCTGATTGTTAATGAAATAATCAAATAAGAACAAGAGGAAATGATGAAACCTCACTGTTTTTCATCCCACAGAGCACAGAGGATAAAAAGGCACCTTCTAAAATGAACTGAGTTATAAGGAAATGTTTCTCACAGCTGACGTAATTACTCCAAAGGAATTACAAATCAATGTGCTTTACGTTTCATGATTGCAGTTTAGAATAATTTTATAGTGAAATTATCAGAAATTTTGGTATAGATGATGGCAGAATAATCAGTTCCTAGACATAGTTTTGCTTTTTGTTTCATTTCTGTTTGGAAGAAGAGGTAATCCCACCTCCTCCCCAAATACAGCACGATAATTTAAAATATATTAATACTAAAATATCATTTATTATTTCAATGATAGAATAAATTATATACTAGAAGAAGGGTAAATCTGTATACGTTGGAAGAAATGGTGACTAACATAAAATTATATAGTTCTAAAATAGCAACAGAACATATATATTATTTCTACTAAGGATATGGAAATTGAATAACTGTTTCATTCCAACTCCTACAAGGGACATACCTCAAATAAAATACATATTTAAAATCTGTATTTTTTCCCTCATCTTTTTTTTTTTTTTTTTTTTTTTTTTTGAGACAGAGCCTCAAGCT